CCCTTGGAAGCAGTCAATTTTAAACCATATATCAAAATGATTAATTGCCCTTAAATGAGCAGATGTTGAAGTACCCTTGAATGGGGCTAGCGCCTTTTTGGATTGCAAACATAATGTATTCATGGACTTGGAAAAATATCATTAGGGCTATTAATTAGCTATAAGCACCAAAAGCTTTGGTGACTCCAAGGTGTAGACTTTTTTTTTCCTTTCCTTTTCTTTTTTCCTTCTTTTCTTTTCTTTTCTTTTCTTTTCTTTTCTTTTCTTTTCTTTTCTTTTCTTTTCTTTTCTTTTCTTTTCTTTTCTTTTCTTTTCTTTTCTTNTCTTTTCTTTTCTTTTCTTTTCTTTTCTTTTCTTTTCTTTTCTTTTCTTTTCTTTTCTTTTCTTTTCTTTTCTTTTCTTTTCTTTTCTTTTCTTTATTTTTCTTTTCTTTCTTTTTTATTTTTTAAGAATTAAGGGGGAAGAGCCATTTCTGCTGGAATAATATTATTAGGGTTTGGTTTATGCTGTGCAGAAAACCTTGCAAAATAGTTCAAATTTGGAAATAATGTGATAAATTCTGGCTGACCTCTGAGCAAGGTAGAAGTCAGTCCCACCAACCTGGATGCATGAGGGAATAAAGAAGGAAACAGTGCACGCATAGTGGGGCAAGGAAAGGAAAGGGAAGGAAGAGAGTAAAAGCAAGAGATCTGACATTGTGTAAGGTTTCTTAGGACATAATTCTATTCTCAGAAAAGGTAAAATGTCCTAAAGCACAAATGCTGTGTGAGGGTTTGAGTAGGTGTAGAAGGAAAGGGTGCTTTGTGGGCTCCTAATTTGAGGAGAAAAGAACTCTTATGGCATTGTTAACCCTGGAGGAAAAATATATAAATTCCTCTTCCCATTAATCTCACTTTCCTCCAAACCTCCAGAGCGAAAGGAGAAATGTAGCGATCTGTGGCTTGAGAGTTTTTAGTAAGAGAAAATCCTTAAAAGTGAGCCTATTTTGGTCTCTTTTCAAATACTGCATCAAATATATTTTCAATGAATTCATGGAGGGGAAAAAAAAAGAGGCAGGGGAGAGAAAAAAACTTTTTAAATCTGTTTAAGTTTATAAACAAGATTAAAGAAACAATGTCAAGGGTCTTATGGAAATGGTGATAGTGCCCCTTTAAATAAGAGCAAGTGGAGATTTTCTATATCACTGTGCAGTTTAAATCTTTCTTGATGGACCGGACACTAGTCCTCCTTAAATCCTTCAGAAAGCTGCTTTAAGGAAAAAGGCTGCGAGGAATTTCTTCTCGCTTTAATTGCTTAAGAAACGGTTCCCACAATGAGCTGTGGCCTAGATTTGCCTCTCATTTAAGTTCTGATTTTTAAAAGTTCACAAGTTAATCCCCTTTCGGTCTCACACGAATGCGGTTGGCGTCGGGGACAAAGTACTGGACAATGTCTGGAACATTTCAACCCCCCCAAAGATGCCCCATACCAGAAAAACAAAACACAACAAAGCCAAGTGGCCTTGATTTGGTTAAGTAGCTATTTTAAGACCTTGTAGCCTTAATAATTTGAGGCAAGGATAAATCATTTGCGCTATAACTGCCTTAGATGCAGGAGTAAGGAGGTTTGGCAGGGTTTGCAGTTTCCTTGCCCATCTTTCAGAGCTGGAGCTTTAACTTCTCATCATTCAACGTAAAATTCAGCGTCTGCATCTCCAGCCCAGGCTACTGTCCTGGCATGAGGTGGGAGCAAATCCACAAAAACAAGGGCAGAGTGAGAGGGAGTTAAGGCATTAACTGTTTAAATCATAACCAGCCGGGCTTTTATTTGTGTGGAAGGAAAAGCCACAGTTTTTGTGTGAAGGAAAACATATAGTTACTTTCCATTACAGAAAATACTTACATACTTGAAGGGGAGGCTTTAAAAATACCTGCTATAGGAAGACTCCAAGATGTATTTCTAAATAAAATGAAGAAAGCCCAGGTTTTCTCCGGTGTGATTCCCTGATTGTCTAATTGATTTTTTTCCCCCCCCAAAAAAAATCGGCCGTTCTTTGCATTGTTCAGGTCTGAATGCTTAGTGCCTACATAGGGAGAAACCTGAAGTTTCCCACTCATTTGGGAAAGACACAAGAAATAGTCTTTAAAGCGTTTGTGGTTTTGTTTGGTTGGTTTTGTACATATGTGGACCTAACCGGTTAGCCAAAATACTATCGTTAATATCAGGGGAATGTAAAATACCCTTATTTGTTTGAGAAATTAACAAACTGCCGATTGTCCCCACGCGAGCTCGAGTGAAGATTTCCGCATTTTCATATATTTTTTTCCAGCAACGCCGGAAAACTTTCACCAAAAAAAAAAAAAAAGAAAGAAAAAGAAAAGAAAAAAAAAAAAAAAAGCGTCCGATTTCTGACTCCCTTCACCCTCAATCCCCGTTTTCTTATATATATAAAATTGTTAATATTATTTATATTATTCACGGGCGGAAGTCTTGCCTAGCAAGCGTGGGGCTTGGTGCCGGGCTCGGCGGCAGCCCCGGCTTGGGGCAGGGGGCGGCTGGGGGCGGCGGGGACCGCGGTGGCCCGGGGCGAAGCGCCCCGGCCGCGGCCGCCCCCTCCCCTGCAGCCCCCCGCCCTGCGGGCGCGAAACGCGGGCGGGTTCCGCGCACCTCGTCCCCATCCCCTCGCGTTTGGACCGCATCGACACGCTGGGGCGGGAGGGGGGTCCTGTAAATCCGTGGAAGGGGCAACCTGAGCTGCTCCTCCGAGCTAAACGCGCGATTTACTCGTTTCTGCGAAGTCGCGCTGAATTAAACCTCTGAAACACAGGCGTTTATTTAGAGGGGCTGGTTGAAGAGCAGGAGTGCAGCCGGCGGAGAGTTTTCCTAAAGACGGAGGAAATTCTTCTTCACCCAGTGAGGGTGAGAGGAATTAAAACTAAAGGTTTTTCGTCGAAAGAGTCACAAAATCTCCAGGCGAGCAGCAAGACGGGACCCTGGTGCCGCCGCGGTGGCAGGGGGTGACATTTGGTGGCCGCGCTGCAAGTGACAGTTCAGCAAAAGCAGCCGAGAGATGCTGAACCCCCCCCCCCCCACACCCGGCACCCGCAATGGGGGGCCCAGCCCCGCTAAATCCAACCAAGGAACCCGCAAAGTTTTGCCCGACACTTGTACAATTTTTGCGTTTCTTTTTGCCCCGGCTTCCGCGAGCTACAGGTCCGACACTGGGGTTTGGGGACCCGGAGGGTTATTTAGTGTTGGGAAGCATCATCTGCCTCCTCCTTTCCCCTCCACTGCTCTCCTCGCCGCTGCTCAACTCGTTGTAGGGAGCGAGGAAAGGAAGGAAGAAAAAAAAAAATGCAGTAAAAGTGACGAGTTTTGCCCAATCGGTTTCACGGCAGGAAAATAATTAAATAAATAAATCGGTGATTATTAATTATAGGAGCGGGAAGACATGCACTGGAAGCGGCAAGGGCTGCAGAGGAGCTCCCTGTCTTCGTGGGAGCAAGTAGGGTTTTTATGGAGCGAGGTTTGGAATGGATTGAAATATATTTAAATAGAATCGCCCCTGCTCTTTTTAGCAGGACAATTGCTTGGTTTTCTTACTCCTCTAAAAAAATACAATAAAATAAAATCAAGAAACAGGCACTTGGAGTCTTCTGATGTCTTGAGCCAGACCGATCCCCCCCATACTTTTTTTCTTTTTATTTTTGACAGAATTTGTACAAAATATCAAGCTCAAATTAAAAGGTCCTCTCTCCCCCTCTTATTCTTTCTTGTTCCCTTAATTCCTGTCTAAACGGTTTTGCTCTGGGAGAAGAAATCTTTTCTATAGGAGGGAGAGAGGGAAAAAAAAAACCCTTCAAGAAGAGAAGGGTATTATTGTTTTAATCCTCTTACCCGCAGTCATTTTAAAACAGGGTGTTTTGGAGCCTGAAATGGCGTCTTGTGTCCCAATCCCATCCTAAATCCTTCTGGGCTGGGAGAGAATCTAAAGGCAAGGAGCTGGCATCTATTAGCAATCTCTCTAAAGGCTTTAAACTGCTCTTTCTGCTGCGAAGGCATGGCAAAGCTGAAAAGCAAATACAACCGGCGCTCCACTTAGTTAGCTCTGCCAGATAACCAGCCCGAGCGCTGCTCGGGAAGGTACTCGCGAAAATCCCGCCGAAAAAAAAAATATGAAAAAAAAAAAAAAAAAAAAGTTTTCGAATTTTTATATCCCCCTCAAAATATGGTAAAATAAATTTCAATAAATGGGGGGATAGGGGACATTGAATGGGTGTTTATTCTATGCTGAAATCTCCCTTCTTGGCTTCTTTCTCTCCCACTTTTCCCCTTTCCCTTCCTTGTCCTGGCAACAGCGCGGACGCGGCTGCTGCCTCCGGTTCCTCCGTCCGTCTGTCCCTCCGCTGCAGCCAGCGGGGAATTTACTGTCCCATCTCTGTTAAACTGGCCAGTCCCATCTCTGTTAAAACCCAGCAGGAGAGGGGGTAGTAGGGGACGGGACTGGGGAGACCGGGGCGCAGGATGGGAGCGCGTCTGTAGTTAACACTGGAGAAAGGAAAAAAAAAAATACAGAGAGCTATCAGGATGTGCTCGGGGTGGTGCTGGGGCTGGGGGAGTGGGGGGCAAAGCTTCCCTCCATCGTGTCCTAGGGACCCCATCACCCCCCGGCCAAGGCGAGCTCTCCTCTCTCCGCCAGCATCCCGGCCACTCCCGGGGATTTAATTAGCCGTTTACACCTCGCCTTAGAGTAAATGACTGGTAAGAAGTGTTGGGGGGAGTGGGGGGGGTGCTGCGATGTATCAGCAGCTCCGCGTTGATTGACAGGGTGGAGGACCATTGAAAACCTCGCTGGGAAGCTCCCGGGTCGCTTGGAAGCTCCTTTTAAAAATCCTTCTTCAATGCTGCCTCCCGGTAGATGGCAGCTCGGCCGGGCGCGGAGGCAGCGCGGAGGCAGCGCGGGCGCGCGCAGTGAGGCGCGCGGGGGGCGAGGCCGGCGCGCAGCGGCCGCTCGCGCTGCCACGCGTGTCCGCGGGCCGGCTCCCACGGCGGGCGGAGAGGCTGCCCCAGGTAGGACATTACCGGCTCCGGGCGCGCGCGTCGGAGGGAATTAAGGCAAGTTTGGAGGCTTCTTTGCGAGGCTGGCGGGAGGATGCGCGGAGGCGGGGAAGCCCATCACGGTGCCGCGCAAGTCCTGGCAATTGCTTTGCATCCCCTCCCGAGCCCCTTTAAACTTTATTTTGGAATATGGTCCACTTTCTCCTAAGGAAACGGAAGAAGAAGGAACAAACAAAAAAAAAAATCACGGCCACACCGTATTGGGGGCGGCCGGCCTGGGGTCAGACCGGACTGCGGACGGGGAGCGCAGCTTGCGCCCTGCTCGCCCATCGGGCTACTAATGACCCGCAGGGGCTGCCCAGGGGCCTTTGGGGTCGCGGGGAAGTTTTGTGCGGGAGGGCCAGGCTGTGACAGCGCCAGGAAACGGTTTTTTTGCGGGGAAAGTCCGACGGCACCGCGTTCTGGGAAGGTCGGGGACGCAGCGGCGGCGGAGCCCGGTCCCCTCCGCGCAATCACGGCAAGATGCGCCCAAGCCCCGGCCCGCACTGTCAGGCTGCGTGATGAATTAAGGGCTTCGCAGTCGAAACCCATTTCCCCCTCCATTAGTAGCCAAGCAAATGGGGAGCCGCGTGAATATTTGCACCGCGAGAGATCTCATACATCTCATACATCTCCGCCAGAGCCACCCCTGGGGCCATGCGGTCACAGCGAGGCGAGGGCAGCGGGAGGCTGCAGCCGCGGCGGGGGAAAGGGCCTGAGCCCCCTCGGTGCCCGCTGCGGGGGACAGCGGGGACAAGGTTCCCTTGCGGGGGCGAGGTGCCCAAATCCCCAATGAGGGTGTCCCGGAGAAGGGCTGGGACAGGCGCTGGGGGGACACAGGTTCCCCTCGCCCGAGCAAGGCGCTCCGGGAAGTTTCTCCCCCGCACTTAATGTTCGGGGCACCCCATGTGGCCGCTTTATATTTTTAGGAGGGCGGGAGGAGGAATTTGGCCGCTCCTGGCAGCATCCGCTGCGTGGCTGCGCTGGGGCCGGCGCCGCCCGGAGTCCCGCGGCTCCCGGGCTGCTGCCCCCCGACGGGCGCGGGGCTCTGGAGGGCTGGGAACGGCCCGGGAGCTGCGGACGCCGCAGGATTGGGCCGTCGAGACCGTTTTCCCAGCGAGAGCCGCGCACCAAACGTGGTGCGAGCCCCGCGAAACAGAAACGAAACGAAACGCGGGCAGTGCGAGGAGCAAACGCGGCCCGCAACAGAAGGAGCTCCCGTCGAAATACTCATCCCACGGGGGGACCTTCTGGAGGCTCCCCCCATTTTCCCCCGCTGCAGTCCCCCGTCCCTCGGCTGCGTCCCGGGCCCCAGCTCGGTTTTCAGCGCCGAGGAAAAAGAAATTTCCTCCCCCGCTCCACCTCCCAACTCCATCCGTCCCCTCGGGCGGCCCCCCTCCAGTTCCACTTGGTTAGCTCAAGTTTTCCATGTAAATGACAGTAATAAATATCTAATCATGTCCCGCAGCCATCGGCGGCTCGACGAGCAGCCGGCATTAATGAGACATCCCGGAGAAGTGGGGGGGAAGAAGAAGGGGAAGGAGGAGAAAGAGGGGGGAAATGAGAGAGGAGGAAGGAGGGAGAAAAAAAAAAAAAGAGAGAGAGCAATTAGAAAGGAAGCAGGGAAGTTTTCCCGCTGTCTTCCTCAGCTTTTGCCGACGGGCCCTTAAGACCCGTCGGGGACACGGAAGGGCGCCAAGACCCACGGCCCGGGGCATCTGTGGGCAGCCCGAGCTCAGCCCCGTCCCCTCTAAATAACCCCGTTTTCCCCAAATACAGCGATTTCCCCCCTGCTCCCCAGGGGGACGGACACGGGCGAAGCGGGGGGCGCGGGCGAGTGTCGAGCTGAAGCCCTAGCCCGGCCCCGGGGCTGCCGTGTGTCCGTCAGCACCGCGATTCCCAAATAATTACCGGGGCTGGAAAGAGCTTTTCATGCTGTTTGGGGAGGAGGAAGGGGGAAGGCTAAGGCTGAAATTAAACCGTGAGAGTTGGATTTGTTCTCCTAACGCTAAACAAATGGAGTGATTACCTTCTTTCCAAACGCATCAGTCATACTACATTAAGTAGCAGAGAGCTAATTATCCCAATTAGGAGGCTGATTTATAATTAATGGCTTGGACCAAGTGATAATTGGATGTTAATGGATAACAGTTTTGTCTGAAGGAGCCTCCCGCTTCCCCCAAGGCAGGGCTGCAGGGGGGGCTCCTGCCTCCCCTGCCAGGAGCACAAAGCGCGGGAGGACGAAAGGCGCTCTTAGCTGCTAGGCGGGACCTGCGTCCCGGTCGGGCTGCGGGATCCCGGGAGAAGGGGCCACGGGGGCCGGGATGCGCTGGGCACCTCCTTGTCCCGCTGTTGTCTCCACCACGGTTTCGATCAGCCCTTGGTTTCCCGCTCCCCATCTTTCCAGGGATGGAAACTAAGGCAGGCAAAGTAGGACCTCAATTCCCTGGAGGTGCTGGGGCTTCAGCCCTGCGCCGAGTGTGTGTTTTTCTTTCAGTACTTGGACCTCAGAATTGGCACTTTAGATGTCCGTTTTTTCTTTTCTTTCTCCTTGCATGTTATTTTTTTTTTTACACCAATGAGTAAGAGCTCAAGCAAGACCCAATTGCCCCAATTTGCCCCAGCAGGAGAGAGCTGCGTTGCATCACTTCGGTTTTCAGATCATGTTTCTAAATTCAGTTTTTCCATTTGGGTATGTAAATAACTAAGAATTGTAAGGGCAGAAAATCCCTGAATGGGTGAGAATGACTTCAGCTCTCAAAGCTACCCTGTGACAGATGAGAGATTGTATTAAATTACCCTGATGTAGTCGATAGTACAATTTTGGATGTATTATTTTATATCAGAGCAAGCCAGAGAAGGTTTCCATCTTTCCGCGTTAATTCTGAATTAAACCGATCCTGATGTGCAACCCGGACATTCCCCTCACACTCACACGGGCTGGGAGGCTGCAGGGGGCTCTGGTTTCTGTCTTGGGGATGCGGCTCTGGTGCAGAGGCTGTTTCCCCTGGGAATTTGGGCCGCTGCTTGTGGCAAGGAGAGAGAAACTGAGCTGGACACGCTTCCCTGCCAGCCCGAGGTGAGGGCAGGCTGGCCAGGCAAGTTCTGTGCAACACGGTCATAGAGGGAGTGATTGTGGTGTGTTTTGTTCCCATTTATCCTTAAAAATGTCATTTATCCTTGGAAAAAAAAAAGTCATTGGGGAAGAGAGGAATCTGATGAAAACGAATCCAGGGAAAAAAGATTTTCCTCCTCTCTGCCACCCTTGCGACCAGCCCTATGAAACAACGAACGGCAGAAAAGGTAACAGGGGCCGATCTCTTCCGACGTGGCTGCCACTGCCTTTGCTGCTCAAGCCACACGCGCCCCCTTGACCAGAAGCTGTTCCCAAGGATGCAGCTGCATCGTCCCCCAGGGATCACCCCGAGGCTACCGAAATCCATCTCTTTGGGCTGGAAACGCTTCTGCTGAGGCACTGACAAACGCCAGTTAGGCTTGGACCCCTTTAAAGCCTCCGTGCTGACTTCTGCAGCTGGAGTCACTAGAGACATTCAGAGCTGCCTGGACATTATTTTTTTGTTTGTTTTTTTTCTTCTCTTTTTGAGCAGGCAGGGGGAAGCCTAGGGGAAATTGCTGAGCAAAAAGGATTCAAAGAACCCCAAATGTTCCAGTCTCTACACAGCTACTGATAAGAATAACCCACTTTGGGGGAATGTCCCCTAGAATACGCTGTAGATAGAGAGGAGGTTATTCTTTTCTTAAATGCTGCTGACCATGTAGGAAGGAATTTGTGATGTTTTGAAGTAAGTCAAAACCCTGTATGTTTTTCCCTCCAGCCTATTCCAAAGCTACTGAAATTACTTGTTCTGGCTGCTGTCTGCGGTGGGGTTTGGATTGTGCCCTTTGCGATTCCTGAAGTGAGTCTGGTGCAGCCGCAGCTGCGGGGAAGGACAGAGGCTCCGGGAGCGGGATGAGAGCAGGGCTGGGATGCCGGGAGCAGCACCAGGACACAGGGGGTGCCTGGGGCCAGCGACTCTGAAAGCGGCCGCAGCGGCTCTTTTTAGCCAGGAGCTGTGGGTGGGCTGCTGTGGGAATGGGATTTCTTCCTGGTAGCTGCTGGCACCGCGTTTTTGGGAGCAACTGCAGCCTCCGCGTGGCCAGAGCAAACACTGGCTTGACAAAATGCAACTTTAAACCGTCTGGATGACAGAGCTGGAAGCGCTGGGAGGGGCGCTTGGGAAGTTCTCTATCCTGCTGCGGTAGAGGGGAGCCAGCAGGGATGGGGATGCGGAGCGGGGGGATGCGGAGCGGGGCGGCGGCAGGCACAGGCAGCGGCCGGGAGCGCTGCGGCGCCCGGCGGGCTGGGCACTGCGCGGTGCCGTCCTGCAGCGCGGGCACCTGCTGCTGCTGCCCGAGACGCGCTGCCTGCCTGGAGCTGCCGCCAGGCCCGTGCATGTATCCAAGCCCTTATAGGAAGCATCACGTATGCCCCAGCCCTCCCCAGCTGCTGGTTTCTGTAGGAACCCTACTTCGTGGCCCTGCTTGTGCATAGCTCCTTCTTTCTTTTTTTCACCCTCTTCTCCCTGTACAAGCGGTTGAGGACAAGTGGCTTTTGCAGTGATGTGAGGAAAACAAGCAAACCAGCTTCATCTGCTGTGAAAGAAGAAAAAACTTCCACAAGGCAGATGCTTGTCCCTTTAAAGTAGAAAGCATCCCACAGCTGTATAGCCTGCGGAAGAGGTATTTTTGAGGTGTTGGTTGGTGTTTCCTTTTTTTGCTAAGGTGATCCTTGCCTGTCATCCCGCCTGAGCAGAAGCAGCCATCCCCACGCATGCTATGCCTGCAAATATCATCTGCAGGGGCAGACCCACAGTGCAGTTGTCCCTGCAGAAACATCACAGGCTCCGTATGTCGGCTTCTCCATCCCATCATCTTCAAAATTTAGTTTGTTCTTCAGGTCTACATGTTCCCAG